AATAATTGTTAAAAAAAAATTATTAAGCAATTATTTAAATCTATCATATTATTACACCATCATTGTTATTTTAAATTAATATTAATAATATTATATAATTTTTTAAGGTTACTGATATCTAATTTGAATTAATAATATTGAAAGTTAATCTATATTTAAACTTTGAATTATCTTTTTGGATAGATGTATTTTGATTTATTCATTTCAATGACTGTTTATTAAACATAGATTGGTAAGGTTTTGTATTCTTTCATACAAAAAAAAAGTTCAAGAATGAGCAACTTTCTAAAATTATTTTTTCTAAGTTTTTGGCTCAACATTAATTTTAGAACAATTCATCAGATTATATTATTTTGAGAAAACTAATTTAATTTCTTTTTTAAAATGATGAGGTAAGTTTTAGATGATGCCAATAATCTTTCTTTATTTTAAGTCAGCAGATGTTTCTATAATCAAACTTGATTCTTAATTGAAAGTTATAATAAATAACCTTAAATCATATTTGAATGATTATTTATTGACTGTGAATTTAATTGAATTGTCTGATATACAATCCTAAGTTTAAAATTAAGTATTAGGTGAAAATTGATATCTAATAGAGTAAATCGTTATATATCCCTTTAATTTATGGAATTCCTACTAATTATTTGATTTAGTATTTTATTGCAAATAAACGTAATTTAAATCTACCACTTACAATGATAAGGCTTAATTTAAATTTTACTTTAACTAATATTAGTGCATGAACTTGAAAAGAATAATAATTTAAATATCAAAATTGTACCTCCTTAAAAAATTTTTTTAGAGATATTTCATAAATTAGTCTTTTGAAAAAATAATGAATAACCAAGTAAAGAACCATTGTCAGTATATTCCTTAAATCTTTAACAAATATTTTTATAGTAATTTAATTAAAAGTAAATTTAAATTATTATAATTTTAGCACAATTTTTCATAAATTGCAAATATGAGTCAAAATCTAGAGTAAAGATCTCACAAAAATGAGGTAAAATTTAAATAATTTATAAACTCTGGAAATGAAAGAAATAATGAAATCCATTACAAGCTACAATTAGTTTAGAAAATGATTGAAAAGAGTTTGGAAGTATTGAATAAATTTGTATGATTTTGAGTTATATATTAACAAAATTTAATATAAAATAAATCAGATAATCATATAATATTAATTTGAATGATTTATTACTTTAATATTCCTCTTTAATTTTTACTTTCTTACAAATAATTCATAAACATCATCTATTTCATCTTCTTAATTTAATTTTGCTACATTAACATTAACATTGCTTCATTAATTAAATAGTAAAACATAAAAAATCTTTTTTTCTTGTTTATATCCCTATATTTAATTATAGGGAGTGTTAAATTCAATTAATTTAGAACGGATATAAATTGAAGATATTAACATTGAAGGATCCTCATTTTATAAAGCAAATTTGAATGAAACTTAATTTTAAAATGTCTAAATGAATATGGGATATTTAGGAAAAAAAAAGATTAAATAATAATAAGGTCATACAAAAATAATTTTACACTTTCATTTCATCCAAATAAAAATATCTTGGCATCTAGAAGTGATGATTAAACAATTAGTTTATGGGGTATAAACAAGGAAACACAATTATGAAAATTAAATAAGGCATTGGAGAAATATATTCAATTTCAATTTCCCCCTGATGGTAATACTTTAGCATCAGATGGTAGTGATTGTACTATCAGCTTATGGGATGCTTCAACTTTGAAAGAAATATAGAAATTTGAAAGGGCAAACGTTTGCATATGCTGGTAGTGATAAATCAATTAGACTTTGGAATGTTCAGGTTGGAAGGAATATTTAATAATTAAATGGTTATTAATATTGAGTGAATTCTATTTAAGTATCACCAGATGGCTATTTATTGTTTCAGGAAGTGGAGATTAATTAATTAAATTATGGGATTGAAAAGGAGGAATTGAAATTAGAAAATTTATAGGACATAAAATGTATAGTATTTAGTATCAGGAGGAGGTGAAAAATAGTAAATCTTTTGGATGTAAATTCATCACAAGAAATAAGAAGATTCATTGGACATTAATATGAAATATTTGATGTGAAAATATCACCTTATTAATATAAAAAAATGTTATGAAATAAAATTATTTTTTTTAATTATATAAATCAAACTATTTTCCTTTCATTAAATAATTATTTTAATAGAAAATGAAATAAATTCCCTGTTTGAAACATGATTTATCATATTTGCTATTTATAAAGCAAGATAAGAAGGAGAGTAATGTTGCCTAGAATTGAATGAATAATACCTGTAATTTGAATGGTAAAAGTTAATTGTTATCAATAAAGTATAATTTTTAATATTATATGAAAGGCACTATAATCACCAGAATCTTTAATCACAAAATTGGATCTCTCAGCTTCCTTTTAGGGTTTTTTCGCAGATTTAGATAAATATGATGATTAAAAAATAAATAGTCTTCTAATAGATTTTTAGACTTTATTTTAAAACATAGAAAAAGCCCTAAAAGCAGTTTACAAAGAATTAGAATAGCATGCAAAAGGTATTCTAGATATGAAATAGAAAATTATGTTGAATTAAAGAAAGTAATTATTTTATCAATAATAAATTATCAAATTCGAGTAGTTTTAATAATTTGCAGTTAATCTTGAATAATTAGGAGATTCTATCAATTAATAAGCAATTGAATAAAATGAAAAGATTTACATGGGTATTTTTAAGAACTTACAAAAATAATTGTTAAGAACTGAATTAAAAATTGATTGATATGCTTGATTGAATAAAACAAGAACGAAAAGATTCAAATGAAGAGTAGCATCTTTAATGTAAAAAATTAGAAGATTGCTAAATCAGTTACTCTTCTTTAATAAAGTTTTGCTTAACAAATTAATTTAAAATACTGTGGTTAAATCTGTACAATATATGATGGAAAGTTAATTTCATATTCTTAGCTATAAAAGATCATTAATTTCATTTAATCTAAATCGAATAAAAAAGTAAAAAACTTTACACAAATATATTTGGGGTCAAGAGATGGATTGTCTGCTTACGCTTATTGGAATAAAGTAAATAATAAATCAGATTTAATAATTATATTCAAATCTAAAAGTGGTAATATTTTTGGTGGGTTTTCTCCTTGTAAATGGCAATATTATTAAGGTTATGTTTAAGATAATACATTGTCATCATTTTTATTTTCATAGACTCACGATTAAATATATCCATTAAAAGAAGCAAATAAAGCACAGGCTATCTATAGTAATTAATCATATGGGGCCTATTTTTGGAGGTGGTAACGATATATGTATTGATAATACTTTTCAAGGTCATTCTTCTAATTTAGGCATTCATATTAATGCGATTAATATTAGAATATTATAACAACACTCATTTATTTGGTTAAGAAACTCCCAATATAGCCGAATGTGAGATCTATTAAGTAATATTTTATGAATGATTAATTATTAAAATAATTATTTTAAAAACAATTAATGATTCCCTATTGTTTTATATCTTAAGCTATTTTTCTTTTGACATAGGCAATGATTCTTATGATATTTAAGGTAGTTTGCATTCTCTACAATCCATAAGCATACATACTATAAAAAGTAGAGTTTTTATCGAATTATTACTCACATTAATTTTTAAATATGTTAAGATTATATGAAATATGAGATAGTTATAAAAAGGTTGATCTCTATTCATTTTATATTTTATTATAAGATTCAGCAAATTCACTTTGGATTACATAAAATTAATAAGTATATTACCCTTAATCTTTAGATCCAAATAATTCAAAGCAATTGCTACATTGATGGGTCATTATAACTAATCATTTTATTCTTTAATAATTTAGATTTAACTTTTGATACCTTTTGAGTTGTTATTCTAAAGCTTATATAAAGAATTTAATATATGTAAAAAATTCTTTCCCTGCTTAAACATTTTCTTTTGAGAAATATCTTTCAACTAAAGCTTCATCATCTCCAAAGTTAGGAGATTTTTCAGTTAATCTAAGTAATTTGCTTTAGCAATAATGGTAAATAAATTAAATTTTATCTTATGACATTCCTCTTCTTAATTATTGACTTATCCATCTCCATAAATTGATATACAGTATCAATTTCTAAAGTAAATCCATTATTACATTTTAGACATTTACCATAATAATAAACTACACAAGTTTACATATCACAATTCTAATATTATATCAATTAAAAATTTGAACAACCATTATAATTGTCAAGATTACCATCATCACATTATTATTACCCTTAAATTATTTAATCTCCGCAGATGGTTTCACATTAATTAAATTCTAAAATGAAATATAACAAATAATTCACCTAAGCCATATATATCTTCATTATCGTTTTAATACTATTCTAACAAATATATATCATCTTATATTGGTTTCTAAACAGAAATAAACATATTTTTAATTCC